CTAACACTGTAGTCCGTCAGAATTCAGCAAAGCGTTCTTGCCTGGCAGGGGCGGTCGCATCTGGGGAGGTCCTTGCAATTCGGACATAGTCCTCTCTTGGAAGAAAGCGTGTGTTGCCAGTTGACTGTGGGTGGTGCAGAAGCATCAAAGTGTGCACGTGAAAAAGGTCAGGGCCCCCTTAATCGGAGGCCCTTGTTAAAGGGACCGCCCTTACCTTCTTTCTTCGTACTTGCTTCTGCGCCACTCCCTGCTTCTCTTCATACTCTTCACCAACATCACATGGTGAATACATCTTGAGCGTGACTCCGAGCCTGGCAAGGGCATACCTTGCAGACCGCCCACAGGTGGCCTCCGCACAAAGCAAGCGACTTGCATGGGGTTGGTTGTTCAAAAGCAACACGACTAGCTGCTGGTGTACCTGCTACATCATGCTATCATGCGCCCGTGAGCCCATAGAAAGCTTCAGGATAAAGATCTGAGCCAGCAAGAGGCGGCCACAGGCGTCAACCTGCCTCATGCCGCATGGCACTGGTGGTTGAGTTGGTGCCGTCGCCTCAGCTCTCAGACCCTCGTGCCAAGTGCATGATACGGAAAGGAATATCCTCGACGTCTTTCCACCCAACCAAAAACATCAAAAAACTCCATCCGAAACTCGCCACAAACCTTTTCACCACTTCATCTCCCCAACTTGGCCACCCCAAAAACGAAAAACATCATTCAGGCTCCTGCCGGGGGCACTGCCTTCACCGGCCCGGGTGCCATGTCAGGCTCCAACTCACCTGCTGCTGCTGCTGCCCAAAAGCAAACGGTACTACGCAACAACCCACAACATGGTCACATGTGACACACTTAGGATAGGGTGTACTGAACTGAAAGCGGTGCCACACGCCGGCCTAGGGTTCCATTTCCTAAGGGTACATGTACTTGAGGCCAGAGGGGGTGAACGAAAGCTAGCCGGGCTTCCGGTGGTCTGCTGCTGGTGCTGCTGCTGCCGCTGCTGCGCTGGGCGCTGCTGCGCTGGGTGCTCTGCAGGCGCCGGGTCGTCTGCTGCTGCTGCTGCTGCTGGCGCTGGGTGGTCTGCTGCGGCTGCTGCTGCCGCGGCGTTGGGTATGCTGCTGCTGCTGCTGCCGCTGCTGCGCTGGGCGCTGCAGATGCTTGGTGTGCTGCAGCTGCTTGGTGGTCCCGCTCCCCGCGCGGGGGGGGGCGGCCGGGGGGGGGGGGGGGGTCCATAAGATTGATTTAATCAATTATTTGAGGTTTCTGAGGTGCGTCCACCCTGTCACTTAACTTGCTAAAGCAAGAGCAACTCCAGCTAGCTAAGGCTAGCTTTCGTGATAAACCACTGGATCCTGGAGGTCTTCAAGAGGAAGTAGGGCCCAAAGGGAAAAAGACGAGCGACGAACCGACAAGATGACGTCGTGACGTGCAAGTCTGCGGAGCTCACTAGCACTTTACAAAAGGAAGAAGGGTGGCCACCAGCTGCGTCTCATAATGCGCCCAGGTGCACCAAGCAGGTACGTTTTCACGACAGTTTGGATGGGTCTTCGTTGGCCCATGCCATCCAAGTGTCCATGGGCCC